TATTTGTGGAGGATCTCTAAGAACAGACTTGCCTTCTTCACCTCAAAATACATATTTTTAATTAGCCACTCTACAAACAATCATGCTGCCTGAAGGAAGTGGGGGAGAGGCTTGTCAAGTTGATGCATTTGTCCCTCAATACCTTTCAATGCCTCTGTGCAAGTATAATTTTCTTCCTAGCCAGCTCACCTCTCTGGCCTCCTTTTGTTTCATGTCCCATTTCCCATTCTCTTGTAACTTCTGAACTTTCGTTGGTTTGATTTTAAGCAGAAAGGGAGAAAAGGAAAAAAAAAAACACACAAAAAACCCTTTCCTATTTTTTTTTTTTCCTCCTGGATGCGGAGTAAGCAGAGACATGAATATGGCACCCTCATAATGATTTAACTAGGGCTTAATGAAATTTTCATCACAACCTGCTGTTCATTTTAATGGCCTTTGAAAGACAATAGAACAATGGCTAGAGGGAAGAAAAGATTTTCTGTTGCATGCATTTGCAAAGCCCAACATCCAGTTGCTCCCCCTCCCCTTGCTTCCAATCTCTTCACAAAGCTGTACATCTTTTGTTTGTACTGTATATTTTCATTTTAGTAGAGCTAGGATAATGCACAGGCTCTGCAACCGTTCCCATGTCTATCTGTGGCCTCTCCCTAATGGAGTCTCTGTAGCAGATACAGCCTCCTACTCTGCACAGCATTTATATACTGCCCAGAAACCCCTGTTCTTTACTCTCTCAGAAATATAATTTTTATGTTTTCTCCCACTATACCATCCAGAGGGAAGATCTTTCCCAGTCAAAGGAATAAGGTCATGACATTGGCCAGTAAATCAACATAAGGACAAAGCATAATGCCCTGATTAAATGTAATATTTTAAAAGATGCTCAGACAAAGAATTGCTTCCCAGCAGCCCCTTATTGTGTGTTCCATCCAAGAAAGGAAAAACAATTTCATCCAGGCTTGGATAGATTTCTACCATCAGGCTTGTGTATGAGATAGGACACCTGTGTTTGTGCCTGGTTTTGTTCCAGCATAGAGGCTGTCCTAAAACTTTCTCGTAGGTGTTGTCAATTCATGCATAACCACTGAGGTGGCTTTTACAGCCAAGCTTTTAAACAGCTGAAGCAGATTTCTAAGATTTTCTACAACCAAAATAGGAAGGCACAAAACAAAATACAGCATGACTGTGGCGTGTTAAGGAATACAGCTCAGTGAGTCCACACAACATGAACAGATCCATGGTCCTCTCCCTGGAGGTTTAGCTATAAAATAACCATGCTGGATACCTATGGAGAGTATTGTGAGAACTCCATCCTGAACTTTTCAGCCAGCGGTTTAAATCTACACCAAATGGGCAGAGACTCCAAGCCTTACTTGAAGGAAAGCTGTTCTATGGCTTACAAGGGATGAGTCGCTTGGCCTTAGTCTCAGTCCACGGAGGACAAATGGCATTGCCACTGACTCAAAAGAGAGAATTCCCCCAGAGGTGGTCACTATACACCGGAGCTGAAATTTGTTAGCCAGATACAATACAGAGAAACACTATCATATTACCTACTTGCATGGCACCTGCACTGTAGATAAATAGTGAATGATGTGATGGGACCATCCAAAAGCTTTCTTGAATTCCAAATTTAACACTTTACTTTGCAAATAATGGCACATCTACTACATGTTTTAGAAAAAGAATGTCATTGCTGATAACACTGCTTCTTGCTCTAGATGCTGTCAGCAGTGGCGGGTAGAGGGAAACGTCATGGTGTAAATGACCCCCAGGCTATCACGAATACAATGTGCATTGTGCCTGCCTTGAGGACGGTAACAGGAGGCTTGTGCCTACTTTAATGGTGACAAAAAGACCATATATGTCAGACAAACGCTCTTATTTGGAAAAAGCTAAGAATGTTAGCAATGACAGGAGAGACTGTTAAAATTTTCTTTAATATAGGCAAGAACTATGAGTTCTTTATTTCAATTTTGCTAGCAAGAAAAAGTAAATAGAGCAGAAAATGGGAAAATTAGAAAGTATACATACCCAAAGAATATGGAGGGAGAAAAAAAAAAGGAAGATTTTGGCCAGTTTCCCAGGCCTTACCTTCTGGCTCATTTTTGATGAGCTCTTCCATTTTCCTTTGCTTAAGGGTGTCTACAACATCCGCTAAGCTCCCCTTGCGCCTCTCAGGGGTTCCCAGGGCTGTGCTGGACAATGATTCTCCACTCTGACGCCCACCTTCTTCTGCCTTCAGGGGTGAGGTAGATGAGTTGTGCGGGGCAAATGAAGACATCACTTTATTGCCATCAACTTCCTGAAAGAGGAGAAAAATTACATAAAACGTTTTCTTTTTTCCTTATTTTTTTTAAGAAAAGAAAGAAAAGATGGAAAAAAATAACAATCCTTTGTTCTTTTGAGTTCATTGCTGTTTGTTCTTCTGTTGAAACCTTTAAAAAAGCATGCAGTGCTTCAAAAACACCCAGAACAAAGCCTATCCATAGAGCATAAACCAAGATTACAGGCTGAAGTGAGCGAAGATCAGCTTGCAAGAGACGCACATAAAATGCAGTTTTCCCCTAATTGAGAAGTGCTCTACTCATAGGTTTCCTAATAACAACGATATTGATTATCTTTAATTGTTTGCTCCTTTAAAGCTTTCCTTAGAAAAAATATTCAGTTCTTAAAAGAATCGTTAATTTCCAATTTTTAAAAATACTTAATACTACAATGGCCAGTTGCTATAAGAAATGAAATAGTAATCAAATATCAAATGCCCTTTACTACACGATTTAACTCCCAAGTAGTTCACCCATCTCTAAGGAAGAAACAAATGTCTTCTGACTTCTAATTTAGCTTTATTCTCCTCTTCCATCTCATACCTGCATTCCTTGTAGAGACAATATTTTTCACAAGGGTGGCCCTAATGACTCTCACAGGTGGCATCATGGCAAAACCATAATTTCCTGCAATACACACACAATCCTCCTCACGTGAGAGTCCACACAGGTCTACTCATTAATTTTAATGGAAGCCAAAACTAGTTCCCACATCTGTAAACTTCCATTCATCAATGTGAGAGCCTTCTCCTCTGCACCTTCTATGATGTTCTCTCACGTTCTTTCCCCCTTTTATGTCCCTTTTATACCCTTCTGCAGACATCTCTGAATCCTTTTTCTTCTCTGCTAATATATGTCACCTAGATCTCACAAAAACTTCTATCTTTGTGAAAAGACAAAGCACGTCAATGTCCCCAAACACGGCTTGCTATATATACAATGCATGATATAACACTGCCCAAAGTAATACTCCCATCACCCATTATTAAAAGTTTTTATTTTGAACCAATTCTCCAGCCATTTTTCTTTTTCTTTCTTGTATTTCCTTATATTTTTGTTTTTCATATATTTAATTATTATTATTTCTAATAAAGTCACCAAAATATTTTGTGATTTGAGTTACAGAGTTGGTTGAAAAAGTCTAAACATCTTTTTAATTGTTTTCATATTGTAGGGTTTGAAATACACACATTTAGTGGTGTGCTATATTTTTATTGATTTTTTTCTGAGTAATTGTTGATGTCTCCAGCTTACTAAATCCAAATTTTCAGCAAGAAATTGATGTTCTCGTGCATGTAAATGTAAATTGCCAAAAATAATCTTGGTGAAATGTGAATTAAGCAACATGGTAGATATGAGGTAAAGAATATACTTGTTTTCACAGATTATCTCGTTTTGGCAAAAAGACTACTTTTGGTTAAGAAAACTTTTATCACAAGCAATTTTGAGCAGCTTGAATGTGTTATACTAGTGAATAAATTCCCTAACAGAATCGGATTTAACTAAGATTACAATCTGGGCCATCATATGCCCCAAAAGCCAAACCTAGTGATGTTAATGAGAGACTTTCTACTGACGTCAATGAGCTTTTGACCAGGCCTTAAAAAAATATTCTGAATGTGGTCAAAAGTACTGTTCCTTTTTTGAAAATCCTTCCATTTTTTGTTCTGCATTTGGAAAATTAACAGTTGTTAACAATGGACTTAAAAAATGAGGTGGAGCTGAATATATATAACAGAATCATACATATTAAATATATATATGTGTATATATATATATAAAATATGTATATACCAGAAAAAGCTATGTATTTTTTTAAGCAATGATATAGATTATCTGACTCTCTTGAGCATTCGTTCAAACATTCAAACATATTATCACCAAGTGGTAATTTCTCTCACACAAAAAAGGCCAAAAGAGGGAACATCTTCAAAAACTTGTCTCTGAATATCTTCGCCCTTCCAAGACAAAGAAACTAACTGCCTTAAATCCATCTATACTGTAAATTATTTGTGGGAACAACATAATTTCTACAAGGAGCTAGTTCCTTTGTTTCCAAACCAGGACCAGAGACACCCACTTGTATTTCTGGGCATATCTCCCAACAGACACAGAGACACACAAAGTGTTTGCAACAGGCCCCTAAAATGAAGGAATCGTCATTGCTGTGTCCCCGCATATTTTGCGTACAGGTAAATGTTTTTCTATGTACAAATACATGCTGAGTGCGTACTATTTTTTAAAAAGCAAATGTGAGCTTGTTTTGTAGATACAGCCATTTAGTAACTTTGTGGTCAGAGAAGGAATGTAAGAACGAAAGGACTGAAGAGAGAATGTAACGTAATATATGGTGATTTTCAAAATACACATCTTACAAATCACTTGCTGTTCAAGTGGGACTTGCCAGTATTTTTAAGACAGGTAGAAATTCACTGCCTCTAACACTGAGAAAAAGGAAGTATGAGGGGAAAAGACAAGAGGGTAGTGAGCACATAAAGCATTAGGAAAGAACTTGGGATACTCCATTCCCTAGGCATTTTAGATGTTCTCTTTAACCGTGGGCAATGCCACTTTTTTTTGTCCTGCATTTCAGTTTCCTACATGTAAAATAAGCACAAAAGAAGTAACTTCTTATGTGGTAAAGGTCTTGAAGAGAGAAACTCCTTAACAACACAGAGGTGCCCTGATACTGCAGCATGTATAAGGTACGACCGTTAAGAAGACTTCAAAGCTGGAAAGGAAAAAAAAAGGGTGGGGGGGACATTTTCTATGCAGAGTCCTAAAAGATAAATTACATATTAAACTACATGCCTATCTATTCATCCCTCAAATAAATTGTTTCCTTAGACTGCTCTCACTAGGCGTGCAGGTATGCAGTGTTTGCATATCACATACATGGGCTATTTATACACTTGTGGTATTTAACATACACTCCACTTAATCAAAACACATACAGTGGGGAAATGGCTGCAATCACATCTCAGTGGGCTAAATTACGGTACACCAGTGAATTATTCATTCAAAAAGATCTGTAGCAATCACACATTCATTGCGTGATTTGCAATCTAAGAGGAATCCTCTCTCTCCCATGCCAGGGGATTGAGCGTACACATGAGCTACTGGTGCCGATGAGAGCTGCATGTGTAAACTCTAGCACATCAGCTCAAGAAAATACCTTCCCCACGTAGCCATGATCTTCCTAATCTGTCATCATTTAGAACGACAACATGAAATACCCGACTACTCTCTTGGCTTTCATTCACTTTACTCCTTTCTGTTTACTTTGTTCTTTCTCATGTCATTATCAGGGGAAAGAAAAAAAAGAAAAAGAATTCTCAGTCATTCTGAGTTTTTAGTCACATAAAAATGAAGAAAAAGATGGTAATAGAAGCTAAGAAGCTCTTGGGAAAGAAACTCCGGAGAAACTTCGCATGAGAGTTTAACTGTGCCCCTGAAAACTTCCAGAGAAACCCTTAACAGGAAGGAAAAGAATCTCAAACCACAGTCTAAAATTAATGCCCTGGGAAAGAGGGTCCCCCAAACAAATGGGGCTTCGCGGATTGCTTCTTTGTAAAGACAAATTCATACAGCTTTAGTCTGATGGTCAATTTAGTCAGAAAAGCACTTTACAAAACTGCAATGAGCATTCATAAAAAAGCTAAATATCTATTAATGACATTTTAAAATGCAGTCCATTAAGGCACGCACAAATTCTGCTATCTCATTTCCCAAAACAGTAGGAAAAGAGATATTCCCTTTTACCAAAGAAGAGTCCCTCTCAGCTGTGTAATCATTTCACCTGCTCAAGTTTGATTACATTCCAGCCTCTGGCAATGCTAATCCTGGTAACAGTTTTATGCAGTTAGCAGCTGCTTCACGGATGGGACTGTATCGCGCATTTGCCTCGCGAATCGCTCTGCTCAGGTGCGCTGGCACAGCACCGCATCCACCTCGGAACGGGGACCGTACTCACCAACACCTGGTGCTGCTGCTGCTTGCTCTTCCCACTTCAGGAGGGCAGGCAAGAACCTAGAAAGATCCCGCTGACAGAAACACCCTACGCCCTTTTTGCTCCCCTCAGTAAAGGAAAACGGATTGACCCACGTTGCACGGCTTCTGCGTCTGCTCCGATCCACCACAAGACATGTTCACTTATAAGAAAGTTGCCAGTATATTGCCAAACAGCTTTCCACCTATGGAGGAAATATCTCTTCCAAGGTTTAATGATAAAACTGGCTTCTGCCCTTTCAGGATGAGGTCAATAATCTTCCTTTGTTAATCTTGGGCAAGCTTTACTTAATCTAGCCCCCTTGTCACCTTTGTGATTGACAGGAAAAGTCATGTCACTGGACAATGGACTTATCCTCACTGGGCAATATCTTTTCTAAAGATTACACAATGTTACCCTTGCTCTCATAAAAAGTGCAAACAGTTTGCTGTTAAAAGACCCTATTCATTCCACCTGTATCTTTCAAATTGTCTCGCTCTATTTCCAGGGTCCAATTCAGACCTTTTTCAGCTCTGAAATGGGATGGTAAAATGTTTAATGGAAAGAAACAGGTTGCACTTCGCTTGGTGAGACTTCTGAAATATCTTAGTGCTCTAAGTAGATGGCAGCTTCCTCTTCCTAATCTAAAGGACATTGCTCTTGATCTGCAATTAGATATGCAGTTGATCTGCAAATGTTATTGTGACATTAATATTTTGTCCCAAATCGACGAATAATGGAAGCAGAAGAAAACTCAGCACTAAGTCTGAAACTGTTAATTACCACCATATGGTATGCAAGCAGGCTGCATCTGCAGCAGAGAGAAGTAGTATGTGAATAAGGCTTTGGGCTTTGCAGCAACAAACACCTGGAATAAAACACTTGTGCTCTTAAAACAAGCACTGATATTGTCTGATTTCAAGCGGCTTGTCATTTCTAAAAGCAACCTAACAGGTTCTTTTTTCAAAGCTGGAATTTTGCCCATACTTT